ATTCTTATGAAATTTTGTGTGCATATCGGGTAGGTCTGAGAATCGGCCAACATCTATTTTTCATACCCCTAAATGATAAGGGTGACCCATCCCTAAATATTTTTTTCAATATTTCCTAGAAATAATGTATATGGCAAGACAACGTTTGCCGGGCCAGGTAGTTACCTATAACATTAACTCAAAACCAAATCTGTCATAACAATAAAGTTAAATTAATATGCTGCAAAATTTAGTTTTCTTGGTAATCATTGTACAGCATTAATTAAGACTACAAGAGGTCTTGATCAGTCAAACAGTCGATTAATTTAGCGGCATGTAAACCGGAGCTGTCCAGTCGCGACCGTGCTCCACGGTGGACAGTAAAAAAATATATATATTTAATATGTTTTTATTGCGCTAATCTGGACATAATTTACGTTGATAAGCAGCTCAGCAGCTACTCCTTTACTTGATACACACAATGATCTTATTCTTTTATTTTAATGCATTGGGCTTTGTGATTCGATTGTATCTCTCTACTGCGAGTGCATTCGCATAGATGTTATTTACTAGTGCAGTATCTTTATTTAGTTAAAAAATAAATCTATCCATTTAAGGGTTCCGTTATATAAATAAAGAAAGTTAATATTTTTGTTAATACAAAACTGGTTTATTTCAGACTCACAGTAATGGTACTTCTAATAATTATCTATACAAATGAATAAAATTGAAGTGTCTGTTTGTAATGTCAAAATAATAGGTTTTTCATGTTCACATGGTTATTTGCACGATTTGCGAACGAAAAATTTAAAGTGGTTTTTAGGTAGGTATAGGTATACCTAAAAACCAGTTTATTTATTTTTGTCTGTCTGTTTGTTCGGGTGATCATCTAAACTTCTGGACCAATTTTGATAATATTTTATTCCCAGGTAGTTGTTTAAATAAGGAGTAACTAAGGCTATTTTTCCTCTCAGAAAAACCCTTTACAATTTTGACCCGGTCCGGAAATCGAACCAACTAAGGCAGTGCTTTTCAAATTCCATGCGAACGAAGTCGCGGGTACCACTTAGTAGTAAATAAAGGTGCTAAATTTTGAAAGCCATGCTTTGGCACAAATGCTGCCTATCATGGTTATCTGCAAGTCAAGAGACCCGAGTCAAGGGGGGGAATGCCTCTGTTAACCTCACTCACTCCGTGAAAAGCAAGAACTGCTTTACACAAGTTTCCTATGATTCCGTGGTATCACTCCAGTCGAGCCGGTGTAAATGTGTCGAAGGGTGGTTCTCGCCCGCTAAATATTAAAAGTAACAAAATATAATGTAATATCTTTCGCATATTTGTCAAAGAATCCAATTAACTACAATAAATTACATAGAAAACCTTCTATTACACCTAAAATGACAGATGTCACTTATCAAATATGTCAAAGAAGTCAATTTTTGGAAATCCGTCAGAAATGTTTTCGGTATCAATATCATTGTTCATTGTTACGATTATACGGCTAACTTAACTTGACATTGTACTGTTACAATAATCACCCTTTATGGGCTACAAATAAGGGTGAAAGTAGAATGTTTGGCTGTTCTGTAGGGTGTTGAATAATTTTACGCCAAACAGTGCTAAAAGTGGTGCCGATCTATTACGTATAATCGGCTTACTTGGACGTGAGAATTCAATAGGATTATGTTCCATGGGAGTGCGTAAATGTGTTCTGTTATTAACGGTGATTTTTTATCACTATTATGAGCTTGACTGTACTTTTTTTCTGAAATCGATATGTTTTCAACTTAATCGTAAGACAGTAAAACCGGGGTTTTTTTTTTTAATGCACCAGGTGTTCCTCGAGTGTTGCCAATTCTAATAATAACCTTACCAATCGCACATGGTCGTCTGATCCCAACGCAGAACCTGTACTATAATAACCAGATTATAATAACATACTTATATATTATATATTTATGTACACATGTACATGTAGTACATACATGAAAGAGATGCACTATGCTCATCACACATTATTTGTTCTGGGTGGGAATCGAACCCACGACCTTTGTCTTAGCAGTCTCGATTACAAACCACTAAACCAACAGTTGTCCGTGTGGAGACGGATTAAGAGTATGGATTGTCACCACCCCCAATCATCCCGTGGGTGTCGTAAGAGCCGACTAAGGGAGCAAACTACGCAGGACAACAACACTGCAAAGAGAAGGAAAACTTGACACAAACCCTATACCGACCCGTCTGGCCAGCGTGGTATAGTAGGCCAAAACCTCCTTTCTAAGGAGAGGCCTATGTCCAGCAGTGGACTGTTAAAGGCTGTTGATGATGATGAAACCAACAGGCCCGTCTATGTACCTACATATACCTACCATATACATATAATATGTCACTTTATTAGTGTAATATAATTTATTAAAGAATACTGTTACCGCCATCTATTTAGAATCGCAATTGACGATTTATAAATGTAATTTGAAGGCACAGTTTTTTGCCACTCACTTTCATGTGATAACACATCTGTTTGTAGCACGTTCGATTCCCGAACCGATTGTTGTCGTTCAGACAAATTGCCGGTCAATGAATACGGTCAATGGCACGGATGATTTCTCTCCTAACTTACGGAGTCTATTCACTGTACGACTATGTATTGACTATAACTTGTCATATTTTAAATTGATAACAAGACTTTAAGTCGATATTTGAATAGTACTTAGTTTTTATCTAAGTAACGCCTTATGTTATCTATAACATAAAATCTGCTAAATTTCAAACTTTTTTTGTACCATGAAATGTACCTAAATACTATGTAATAAAAAGTTTAACGTCATTAAAAGGTGTTAAGTATATATATTTTTTAAATGTTTGATATTTCGACCATGTTGCACTGGCTGTAGTCTGTAAACTGACCTAAAAATTACTCATATTAGATGGATACATGTAAGTTCAACAATTTGATGATACTGACGCGTCATAATTCGATTAGAAAAAAAGTGGGAGATCATGTTTATGACATTAAATCTGTCAAAAAGTAACAATCGCAGTAGCTGCTAACATTACACTTCAAGTAGGCAATAAAATATCAAAAGATGTCCATTCTTGGGCAACATTAACAAAGCGTTGTACAAAAATCACGTCCGGCCCGGAAATCCTATTACTGCACGTATTTCAAGAAACAATTGACTTGAATACAAAAAGGTACGACAAAGCGTTTGGCGACAATCGCAAATTCGTAACATGAATGGCACGCTTTATATTTGGTATTGAAAGGTGTTGCCAAAGAATAAACTCGATAGTTTATTGGTTTGGAAATAATTTTAATGCGGAATGTCAGTATTTAGATGCCTCAAACATTTGCACTCGATAAATTCTCGAAAGAAATCTGAGTTTAAGATTCAATGCAGTGACCATTAATATTTAACCCTCGACGTAAAACGAGGGGTGTTTTAAGTTTCTGTGTCTGTGTTTCTCTCTGTCTGTCTGTCGATCATAGCTCCCGAACGGACTGACCAATTTTGTCCATTTCATGTATGTTTGTAAAGTCCCCCGCGAAACAGTATATACGAGTACTTATTCCTAATGCGGGAGTTATCTTTAAAAAAAAGAAAAAAAACGATGATAATTTTTTTGTTCGAAATCCGATGTGATCGAGATGGTTCATAGCTATAAATTTTGATGATCATCAGCTCACTTCCTAGGTGATGAAGGGATCTCACTAAAATAAACAGGTCCGATTGATCTGAAATTTGGTATACTATACTACGTATACGTAAACTGTTATTTTGATGATATTGCCACGACATAGTAACCTTGAACTTGCTGCATATGTAGAGGTTGGCTATCCCGCAGACTACTTGATGCATCAAGTAGTCTGCGGGATAGCCAACCTCTATATATTATATACCATGTATGGGCGTTATACTGTTTTATTGTGTCGGGTTCTTTTTAATTTTGTGTTTTAAGAACTTTAATCTTTATTTTTAGCCAGATTCAAGGCCAGGTCACCTGTTAGTAGTTGTTTCATAGACACCTGAGAGGAGATTGGGCCTTAGGTATTATTACTCATTCAGTAAAAAGCAACGAATGCTTAACACCAGTTTTGTGTGAGGCCGACCTAAAAAGGAAAAGGAAGGAAAAGGGATCCGCCTTTGTAGAAGAAGAAGAATAATTTATTTGCAGAAAAATGTGGTACATTTATGGATGTTACATCTCCATTTTCTTCATATTCAGTACTCCTACTGAATCACACATTTCGCCAATATTGACATGTAAATTTAAATTTAAATCACATTACATTACAAATCAAATTGCATAAAAATTGCATTTTAAATTTAAAAATTAAGACACAACTAAATTAAAATTATCATTACTATATGTACTTTAAAGACATAACAACCTTCCCTCTGAAAACCTCTGTTAATAGTGTAGAGCCTAATGGACCTGTGAGAAACAACACGCAATTTTGCCAATTATACGACTAACGCCATCTAGGAACAATCAGATAAACTAAAGTCGCATTTGAAATTACAGCTATTCAATGAACTCGGAACGAATGTTGAACGATTTTTTAAATTTTCAAATTAAATAACCGTAATAGGAAGAACTGGGTTAATGAAAACTATTGCAAATAAATTCGGTCCGGTCAACTTTGTTCATTAGAATCACAATTTTATTGAGGCAAGCCTAAATAGTTAAATTAGTGACCATTGTATAAACGAATAACACATGATTAAACGACTTTAATATTTAAAATACTTTTACCAAAACTGCCAACCTATTTTATCTATCAACCCTAGAGTCCAGTCAAAGGTTCTCACCACCCCTATCTATTGTAAAAAGGCTGTCTATCTACCCCTTGTTTTTCCACTTACGTAGTGGCCGGTGAGATTTACCGCCCTTTAGGACGGGGTTAACGATTAAGTGCGGAGTGCAATTTAGCGTGTGAAGATGTGTATTATTATTTTTGTTTGTCATGTTATCAAGGTGTTATGTCGGACTTGAGTTGACTATTCCCTCATTGGCTCTTATGGTTGAGACTTCAGACTGTACCTTAGAACGATAGTCCCTCTGAACTCCGTCATAACTGGTCCCCTGGTGGGTCTTCTTCGGGGTGGAAGGGTATCGGTTTTCTCCCGTTTGCTTTCCGCTTTAGAATTTTCCGGCCAAGCAGATTGAGGCAGCAGAGTCCTAAGGCTCTCGTATGTTACAACATGACTTAGTAGAGCTATTGCGTACATCTGTACAAATCAGATTATTCGAATCAAATTAAACCAAAGCCCCAAAGTACACCATAAGATTACAAGAGATTTCCGAGGATAACTTGCACACTCTTCAATGAATATTCACTCAAGTTTTCGTGAAGCACAAAGACCTACTAAATATAATAATTCTTGAAACAATTTCATAGATATTTAAATTGTTGGTCCTTTTTGTAAGAAAATACAACATTGCCAAGAACAATCAATCAAGCAATTTTAAGAAAATTCTCCCCAAATTACAAGCTTCCCAGAAAACATATAGCCGAATCAATTTAAATTCAAAAACTAATAAAAGTGTTTCAGCGAGACGGAACCTTAATATTATCGCATCAACTGAAAGAAACGTGGTACCGACAGCAGATACATGATGCAAGAACAATAATTCAGAGATAAAGATTTACTTGAAGTCAAAAAAACTTTTGATGTTGCGGCCTTTGAAATTGTGTACTTAGCAGGAGATGTTACCGCGTATTATTAATTGTGATTCAATTATGTTAATTTTATTGCAAGAATTTTTTAGAAAGGTTTAGTGTAAAACCTAAGTCCTAAAGGGTCGTTGGGTCGTCGTGAATAACTTTAAGTAGGTATTTAAGTTATTCACAAATTAACAATTCAGTCATAAACAATAAATTGAACTATGAAATTGACCATATATTGTTGATTTTAATAATAAATAAAATAGAGCCGACATAAACACTATAAGGTATTATAAGGTATAGATAGTTCAACTCAGTTGTGCGCGCGGCCCTTTCCAACTTCCAACGCGCGGCCAACTTTCATTCGTGTGGCAGTCGTCGTCCGACTGCCGCGTCACTGCCACACGATGAAAGTTGTATATTTACAAGCCCACGCACACATAGGGCCGCGCACACAACTGAGTTGAACTATCTATATAAGGTTGTTAACAGAATGGCGGGATTTTTCACTTTTCTACGAAGAATCCTTTTTTTTTAAGGTTCATATCAACTATTTCTTAGCAATACCTGTAATATTACTCCTAAATGTGAGCAGCAGAGTACAGAAAATCTGTAAAAATTAAATTGGAAAAAACAGTAGCACTCCGGGAGTGGTAACAGAAGGAAAAAAATGTTTATTATTTTTTTAATTATAACAATTCTTTTTTAATTATTCAGTTTTTTATTCTTGTCTGTCAGACATGAATATATATTTATGCTGTATGTATATACACAATATATGTTTATATTATATTTATAGTTATATTATCAATATATTTCAACCCAAACTCAACTCTCGTGTTAACAGGGTCAATATATGTAGATACTCGGTCGGTAACGGTAACAGTGTCGCGAGTTAAATGTTTTTTTCTCATTTCAAAAATACATTCCTTTGTTTGTTGTTAAAAAATTCCCAACGCTCGTAAAGAAGTTTTTACTTCAAAAATATTTTTGAAACGCATAAATTTCAAAAATCATACTTTAGAACAGTGTTGCTTATGCAAACGCTACTTCAGAAAGATTTTTCAAAAAATTTACAGGCTGTCATTGGAGCGGCCTGGTGTGGGGCGACAGGGTGTCACGGTATAGGGGCGTGCGGGTGTAGGGGTGGAAAGTAATCAACAATTTAAAATTGGGGCTAATCTCGAGCCCAAAGTAATCGCTGGTGATCGTTCTCCGGAGCTCGCATTTGTTAGGCAGTTTGTCCACGTGGCAGGCTTTGACGGGTAGGATATTATTTTAACTGAGGTTTATTTTGGATTTTTATTAGCTTTTGTAGTCTTGTTTCTTGTAATTAAATTTGATAGGTTACAAAGAACAAGATGGGTTACGAATGCTGTGTTACACAGGGCACATTTTAAAAATAATGAAATATTACTGCAATTAGAACAAAGTTCCACCCCTGTTTAGAGCATAAAACACGCTTTGATGCTGAACCGAATAACAAAGTAAATAACAGATCCTCTATCCACCTCCTGTCCTCATTATCAGACCACCGTTACCACCTCTTTATTCAGACGCTTCCATTAGCTTCACTTGTAACTATGTCAACAAGTCTTTACAATCAATTTTGACATATTTTTTATTTTCAGAAAGACTAAAATCTTTGTTTTTTGACGACCGGATGGCGTAGTGGTTTGTGTAACGGACTGCTATTCCAAAGGTCGCGGGTTCGATTCCCGCTCAAGTCAAACATTTGTGTGCATGAACATTTGATGTTTGATTTGGTCTGGGTGTTTCTATGTATAATATGTATGTATTTACAAAAAAAAAAAAAAAGTATATATGTATTTATATCAGTTGTCTAAGTAGCCATAGTACAAGCTCTGCTTAGTTTGGGACTAGATGGCGTTGTGTGTATGTGGTAGAATATTATTATTATTATTTGTATGTTACATACGCATTTTGGTTTGGACAATAATTTTGGTGCTAAGCTGATGATGGAGCGAACCTAGAGCTAGACTAGTACACCCCTCGAGATTTCTGATATTATTTGTTTGGATAAATCCAAAAGACTGGACTCGGTAACGGTTATCTTTTTTTTTCTACTTAATTTGATTTCATTGATCTATTTATCATTCATACAATTGCGGAAAGGATTATGGTGTGTGGGTTTCCATAGAGTCAAAGTACCCCGAAGTGATAGATGCTAGATACAGATATTAAGTAAACTTATTTATAACACTAACAAATCATTTATTTTTATGTTAAACCAATGCCTCTTTCTCAATTACCAACTGCGGTAACTGTTTATTCTTCAAATTGACACATTAGTCCTAATCACTTTTGTGAAATATACCAGTGGTGAATTACAGGTGTCTTTCACAGAACAACGAATAATGTACATAATCCTATGATGATTGGGGTCGGCTTATTTTGACATAAAAAAAAGCAGATGTGATAACTCCAATGTTGGCATCACGTGATGCCAAGTTAATATATGATCTGGAACAAACCATTTCTTATGTAAGTACCTAAGAAAAAAAAAGACCTCCTTCTTTTTAAACTCGGTTGAAATTAGACGAGCGTACGGCACGATTATTAAGCAAATACTTATAAACACTAACTCGGGGGATACCCGACTTTTAGTCCCAAGTCTCGATGGGGGCGCTTTTTCAAGAAGTGAAACGTTACGTTTTACGAAGTAAACGTGACACTGTAATACACTAAGTAAAAGCGTTCATCTTTAATGAGCAAGTAACTTTAAAAAGAACATTGAAAAAGTGTTTCCTTAAAGTTTCTTGACTGTTCTCCATAGGATCTACTTATTAAAAACAATCAACTAACTTCACTACTAACTCCTTATCCCCACTCTTCCACTACTCATGCCATTTCTACGCTACCTAATAAATATTTAAAAAAAAGTGATTTCGATTTTAATTTTGACATTGCTAAGATGAATAAAGATTTGTTTTGAGTTTCCTTTTATTACTGTATTAGCTGAGACCCGCAGTGTTACCCGCGTTTGTTGTTATAACCGCGAGCAACGCCGCGGGGCGAAGCTAGTCTAAAAAAGTAGCCTAAGTTACTCCTTATGTCATCAGCTATCTGCCAGTGAAAGTCCGGTCGAAATCGGTCCAGCCGTTCCAGAGATTACCCGGAACAAACAGACAGACAGACAGACAAAAATTGTAAATAATGTTATTTTGGCATATGTACCGTGTAAACATACATATGTATTTAGTAAAAAGCGGTTATTTTAATATTACAAACAGACACTCCAATTTTATTTATTTGTATAGATAAAGGGCAAACAAGCGGACAGGCCGCCTCATGGTAAGTGACTTCTACCGTCCATGTACCTACGCCTGCAAGTCAAGAGTCACAATTGCGTTGACAGACTTAGTGTCTCACTCAGAATTAATAGGAACTTTCAACTTTAATTTTACTTTGGGGTAAAATACAACAAAAGGCTGATTAAACATAGTTATTCTGTGAGGCCACTTATCACTCCGGTCGAGTCGCACGAATTCTCTTCTTTAAACAGTTTCTTGCTAACCGAATCATTATATTTGTCAATTTTAGATAAATGTACCAAAACTTTAACCCAATATTCTGCTTCTGACTTTCATTTCAATTAGACACCAAGTGAAATGAGGATTACGACTGACCTTGTCTTGTCACCAGTAAACTGTATTGTTCAGCTGCTGTCCTTATCAATAACACATTAAACTTTGTCCTATCAATCATCAGAGTTAGGACAGAGAGCTTTGTATTGTTCAAGGCCAATGTTATGATCATTTGTCGATTAATTTGTCTGTGGTTAAATAAAATGGCTTCCTATTATTGACAGAACGGTGATATCCTTGTCGGATTTTGATCGGTGTTATTCGCATGCTGATGGATTAAGAATACACAGTGTCACCACCCCTATTTATCCCGTGGGCGTCGTAAGAGCCAACTGAGGGAGCAAACTACGCAGGACAACAGCACTGCAAAGATAAGAAAAACTTGACACAAACCATATACCAACCTACCTGTACAGCGTGGTATAGTAGGTCAAAACCTCTTTACTAAAGATATGCCTATGTTCAGCAGTGGATTTTAAAAGGCTGTTGATGGTGATGATAATATCCTTGTCGTGGATTTCGTAGAAACGCTGTTCCGTTTGCGTTTGTATTTTAATACAGGGCAAACTAAAGTGACGGCTTGACGGAAATACGCTTGTCACGTTTATGACGTCATTGGGACTAAAATTTTATTATACTTGGTAGACATGGAAGTTATTGCTACTTTTAAATCATAATCATATAATGAAATGATTGGTTTTAGTCACAGCGATTTCATCAGAGATTGTGATTTGGTCATAGACAAAGATAAATGCCATCATAATCAATCAAAATTCTCAAAGATTACAACCTTTTTTTTTAGATTTAGACCTTTCGGGAGTCTGCGGCTAGCGTAACAATAATACTAAATCGCAGTCGTGTTGTAAATTAGTCACAAGCGTAATTATATGAATATGATTTATCAGAGGTGATTGTGATTTTAAACCATCCCTAATACTTGGCCAAGCGATTTTAAAACACCTCTACGCTTTCGAAGTTTATGTATTTATTTATTTTATTTAAGGAAAACCAACAGCTATGAGTCACAACTTTAGGCAAAACAATAGGTAACAGAAAGCCAATTACAGGTGTTCACGAGTAAGATAACGGCATTATCGATATAACTTCAAGAACACTCCTACTCGATAGATTTGTTATTATTCGTAGATTTTTTCTTCTGTTTCTCCAAATATTTTTGATAAACAAACTTTGCGATTTAAAAAAAGGCAGCAATATTTTAAATTGCTGAAATGTTGGTGCATTTGCTAGACCAATATTAAAAAGATGCTTTGTAATTAGTACCTAGGCTTTTCTTTTCAGTAAATCTATATATTTTTTTAGTTATATACTTGTAAAACAACTGCCATTTTATTTAATTGACAGTATAATACATAAAACGTATATATTTACGAAAGGTACTTACTTAATAATACATATTTAATGAATAGTGAAAATGTAACTAGTAGCGACATCTCTGTATGATAGTATAAACCAACGTAATGACATTGAGTTGTAGTTATATATTACTCACAAGAAACAAAAATTCATAGAAAATAATTTGGATTTTATGCACGCTTAAATGATTTATAATTTTTTATTGGATTTCCTATTTTATCTCTTTCAAAATCAACACCATCACTAAGTAGTTATGCAAGAATCATATAGATGGCAGTGTAATGCAATGTTAACTGCCTTTGGCAAACGTAAATCTCTCTCGTGGTTCTTCCAATCCAGCCAGTCTATAATACTGATTGTATTGCCACTAGAAATAATAAAAGTCGCTCACTTTTCATAGAAAATACTCACAGAAAACGATATAGGTAATATCAAGATAAAATTGTTACATTATTGTTTACATGTGAACTGCACTGTGTGTTGGCTGCTTAGGAACTCATCTGCTCCGATATAAAGTGTTTGATTTTGCAACTTTTATTATACTATAATTATACAAAATAGAATAGTAAAGTTATATTAATATAATATAGAATTATAAAAATACGTAATATTGTTGTAATATTCTATTCTTGTATAAAAGTATTTTATAACAATAATTTTCCAAAAAGGCCTAATTAAAAATCGCCAAATTACCCGAAAAACATGACACATAGGTTGTGGTTTCGATTTGGGATAGCATGACGTAACTTAAATAATATTCATCTTAGGTAACAGTTCTATTACACCTAAAAAATTAAATAAAAAGTCTATGAAATTAAAAATAAAAGAAAAATAATAAAAATATATTCTCACCGGCGCAGAGTTCTGAAGTCGGTTGGCGTTCGCAAGTATTTATTATATACCAGTTGGCCTCAAAATTGCAAGAAATATAAGTGCTACTTATATATCTCGCAGTTCTGAGGCCAACTGGTGCCTATATTGACGGTGTGTCATTTTTATGCGTTGGTCTTGTTGAGGAATAAATGGTATAAGAATTTAAAATTGTAATATTAAATAGTCTTCTTAACACCAAGAGGTACCATTTTATCCCCTTTTTCCACTCTAGGAGGTACATTGCCAATTTTTGGTCTTTGAGGTCGACCCTACCCATAAATTTGTAGTGTTATGCCAGTTATCCATGAACCGTTTACCGTTTATTTTAAATGTTATAAAATACATCCTTCCACTTTCCTTTTTCTCTTCCACCACCTCAATTCCTTCCGCTACATCTAAATCTTTCGGGAGCCAATACTGTAAACACAATATTAAAGTTTTGTATAATAATTTAAAATGTATAACGAGACTACTGATGGATCATTTGATATTCTGACTTGACATACCTTAATTCTTTCCAATCCAGTTCTCTCGTGAGGTCGCTCTTCACTGCGCATCACGAGGCTTGCCTGTGGCGTTCTGTCTACATCCACTGCTCTAATCTAAAGTCCATTTCACGAAAGAAGTCCCGCAGACGCAGCGCTGCATTCGCGCGACATAATGTTGCCAGGGTTAAATATGGGGAAATCACGGGAAATAATTTATCGTTCACTTAATTTTATTTTATTAACTATTACGACTCGAATATTTACATAAGAAAAAAATTATTTTTAATATAATGTATTTTCAATATAGGTACCTGTTTGATGTCCATACTGCTGAGGTGAGATTAGTGAAAAATAAATCTTCCTGTAATTTCTAAAATATAAAAAGGAGATGTTCGACCAACTTTAAATTAGAAAAATAAAATTACATTTAAAAGTTTTATTCAAAGTTTTATTGAATAATTATGATCGGTCATACTATGATCACTGTCAGAAGAGTGAATAGAAACAGAATCAGATTCTGTTTCACTATCACTAGCCGTGGATATAATAAATCGATCCAATTCTTGATCTATAAGACCATCATTTTTTAAATATTCTTCCTCCAAATGCTGTACATGTTTACATTGAGCTGCCCAATCTTCCGCTGTAACAGTCTCAAAAGCCTCTTCTGTTAGGCGTACAATTTCTTTTGGATCTTGGCCCACGTTTTTATCCGCTACCCGTCTTTTTACAAGGCTCCACATTTTTTCAATCGGATTGAGATCGCAGTGATAAGGCGGCAATTTTAGCAATTCATGATTGTGAGATTTTAATAATGCATCCACGGCATATGTAGGTGGACCTTTGTTTTGTTTAATTTTACTTACTTTACCCTTTTATCCGAAGATGTGGACGCGGGCTGTAAACTCATTTTCGCTTTGAATAAAATATCGACCAAAATATGAAGGTTGTCCCATTGGTGCATATCTGCATCAAAGCACCCTGAGCCTTGGAGTTGGAGCAGATACGTTCTTAAGCATACCAAGGTATGAATAGTGAAAATGTTACTAGTAGCGACATCTTTCTATGGTAGTAGAAACTAACGTTTCACATTGAGTTGTAGTTATATATAACCCACAAGAAACCAAAATTCATGGAAAATAATTTGGATTTTGTGTAATTAATTTAAATTAATAATTTTTCATTTGATTTCCTATTTTACCTCTTTTAAAGTCAACACCATCCAAAAGTAGTTCTTATAGTATCATATAGATGGCAGTGTATTACCATAGTAAGTAACTTCCTTTAGCAAACGCGAATGGTTCTGTTTTCTCTGCAGTTCTTTATAGTTTAATCTTTATTACATAGGTGGCGCCCAACAGCAATTCAATTATTAATTACTGAAATCTTTATTTTAACAAGGTAGGGATCAAACCGTCAACACTCAGCGCAGTAGGAAGCGACGAGGTGACCGCTTAAACCACTACGCCTTGCGTGCAGTTTACATTGTTTGAAAACCTTTAATGAAATTAGTTAAAGATACGGTTTTACTCGCAAATGTATTTCGAATCGAAATTAATCAAATCAAATCAATTTATGGCACTCCATTTGTTACAAGGGTTTTAATACAATAATTCCAGTACAGTATAGGACCCTGTAGATCACGGCAAATTAAAAGAGAGCAGGAAGATATATCTAAGCTATATAAATACCGTAATTTTTATTCTGACCAATCAACTTGTCGTACAATCTTTGGATGTGTTGGGTTTCTTAACATCGCCGCTGGGAGGTGGAAAACATATAGTGGGTACTAAGTGAAAGAAGAAAATAGGGGAATCACTTAAATCTTTTTGTACTTTTCCCACCCTGTAACCTGTGGGTATCTACAATAAGATTTGGTAAGGTTTGATAAGGTATATTAAAACGAACGAAAGTAATGGAAAACTATTTATTTTTCATTCTGACTAAACGTACACTACTTTATCATGAGTACCACGCTTTTCGGATCACTAAAACTAAATTTTGTATACTAACGATATAAATTTACAATTTTATTTTTAGTTTATTTACAATGGTCACACTCGAAGCTTTGAAAACATTTGTAGGTAATGTTCATGTAGGATGTGTTACCAATTTAGAAAATCCTAAAATGAGAAAATTTAAGGTACTTATTGTATAGAAAAATATGCAGTGTTTCATGGGAATATTTTTTGCTTTTGGAGATTACTCCTTAAGAATCGATTTTCATATAAGGCCCCGGGTATGAAAAAATATGAAGAGTAAAATTTTGCGATCGAATGACCTTGTTACGTTTGTTGCGCACAAAAAACGTAACGTGCGCAGCTTTCACATGTATGTGTATACCATGTATACTTGTGTGCAGCCGAATCGTTCTTAACGAGTAAACTCCAGTCATGCGTCGGAGCTGACACACACACTTTTATTGATTACTTAATTGTTTATTAATTTATAGCTCGAGCAAAAACAGACCTACCAACCAGAAACCTAAATTAGGACACATTAATTATGTAGGTAATTTGGGGTATTTTATATTTTTTATTTATTTTATTTCTTGATACTTTTTTGAGTATTATTGGTGGTATCACCTGTTCGAGCTGTAAACGAGGAACAAGCTAAACAACTATAACATTAACGTAACATAGGATTTCTATATATATTCTATACTATATAGTATTTTATCTGTAGGATAGTTGACTAAAATGTTGAAAAAAAAAAGAATAATCTGTTGATTATTAAAGTAATAACTTCTGGTGTGGCTGTTGGAAAGGCTCTGAACAGTCAACGTATGCATTACACAACACGCTCCATTAAAAAAAACTACATAATGTAGGTACGTAGGCATAGAGATATGAGAATAGAGCAAGCCGAAAGCGTGATGCCAGGGGCGAGAGAGAAAGCTGCCGAGGCCTCTCTTGCTATCTCTCTCCAATCCATAAAGAACACTGCACTGCGCATGCTGATTAGAGCAAGACAACAAGGGGGGCCTCTAGGCAGCTTTCCCTCTCGCACCTGGCATCACTGCGAGTACAGGGCTAAGTGGAGATATCTTGCTCTTTTCTTATATCTCATTGTAAGAAAGTAGGTCAAGCCAAAATCTGATGAAGACAAAGATAGTACTGTACTGTATTCGTAAAAAAGAGACAAAATTTTCAGTAACATTTTAAATCTTTATACCTGGTTTTACACAAGTCAAAATGTATATAGGCGCACCTAGCTTATAGCGAAAAGAGGGAAGGACTCTCTCAATCATCCAAGGTCCAATTTAAAAGAAATTTAATACAGGATAAACATATAAAAGACAGAATTTGGCTGTATTCCTGTACCCTCCTCACGCCAATGTTTAAGAAATTCTTTGATCACCTTTATTAGACACAATGCACAGTCAACTACCCTACTTATGGTAAAATAATTTAAGTTTATTACAAGGAAGACATGAATTGTATATATTTGAAATTAAGGGTGACTAACTTATTACTGCTTGACTTCACCATCATCGTGGCAAACCATCAACACAGGTCGTAAACAAAAAAGTACGCAGGCAATATTTTACCATCTTTCATTAAGATCATTTTTCTTAATAAACAGGGTATCTAAGCTGTTAGGAGCATAGAGATATAAGTATAGAGTGAATAAGAGCCGATATCTTGCAATATAGGCAACGAGAGAGATGGATAATAGATAGCCTCTATCTCATTCTAATCGAGCTCTCTGGTTGGCTGGAGAATATGAGGGCTTAATGCCCATTTCACGATAGAGACGATAGAGACAGAGGGAACTATGGACCATCTATCTCTCTCGTTGCCTGTATCACTTCCACTTAGACGCAGCTGTACCCCGTGTTCTGTCTATTTTTATATCTCTATGGTTAGGAGGCTCGTATTTTCTGTCAATAGCTAATTCAACGTAACGTAACCCTGGCCTGTTCGAAATGGATGCATTTCCATACTCAAGTATTAAAGGAGAAGGGGTTGGCTTCTTATAACCTCACTCGATGTGAAGCAACGAAATATTTTTTTGAAATGAAGTTCCTAACCGTGCGTTACAGGCTCTGAGATGGTGGGAGCGAGCCGAGACAAATATTTGCAGATCTTACAAACATTTGGTCCAACCCGGGTATTGAACCTGAGATCTCAGCACAGCAGTCGCACACACTAACGCTGAACCACCGAGGCAGTCTAAAAAGCTTTATAAAGCCTTTTTTCTTTTTATAAGGAGGCAAACGAGCAGGTTGATCACCTGATGGTAAGTGACAACCGCCGCCCATGAACACCTTGAACTCAAGAGTCACAAATGCGTTGTAACCCTTTAAGTCCCTCCACTAGAATCAGGGGGAGGGTTTAGGCTAAAGTAACCAATCTCATTCAGTGATTGGTTCAAACACCAGCAGTGCTATTGTCTAAGGAAACAGCCTTGCCTTGAATTACAAACTTACTTAGTTTGAAATTCGACCCTGTGGCAGCGCTGTAGCGTCGAATTTTAAACGAGCTTAGTTTGAAGCTCAACGCTGTAGCTGTATACAAGGCTGTTTTCTAGAGAATAGAACTGCTGCCTGGTCCAATAAAGAGTAAAAAAGAAGATACACAGAATAATATACACAGAAATCCTTATTGAGTTTAATAACTTGTTCATTATTTTAATGATGCATATTTAGAATGAAATTGATTTGACTATTTAAATATTAATAATGAAAGGAAAAATTGTCTTAAATATTCTCTCATGTAACGGTACTGTGTTATATTATATCGTGTGGCAGATTTAGCAAATTTAATTAAAATCATTACAATCATGTGTATGTCCAACTGTTATTTTTTTAACAAAAATATAGGTACTTAAATCTAATACTTACTATACGATTATTGCACAGAACCAATAAACACAAATATATTGTAATATATTACAATTACTGTTTAAAAACTGCAGAATAAAGCATACTAAACTAATATCTATTGGTGTTGCCAAATGCTAAAAATGCACATATCAAAATATTGTACTTATAAAACTATTAAATTACCAGATTTAAAATTTTAAAATTGAAATCCGGCAACACTCGTATACAGTTTTGAGATTTGTCCAACAGATGGCGTTGTATTTCCTAAGGTTATTAGTGAACATCAAACCGAAATAAAGCATTAATCATATCTACACTAAATACACAAAAGAAACTTGTACCAAAACATTTTAAAACTTTCCACACGAACTCATAATATATTTACAATAAGACACTATTTTCGCTCTAATAAATTTTAGTGCGTTTATGTTATTAAACAACAATAAAAAATCTTATAATGAATACTAAAAGCTCAATGAATTATAAGAAGGCTATTTACAGACGGATTTACTAAGTTCTCACAGTGTTTATCTACCATTAGTGCTGAGATTCCCATACATAATCCAAATAATGTGTGCTTTATACGTCATGAAAATGAAGCTGAAACACATATGACATATGTTGTAATAAAAGTTATACAACACGCATGGCGTAGTGGTTTCTGTAACGGACTGCTATTCCATAGGTCGCAGGTTCGATTCCCGCTCAAGTCAAACATTTGTGTGCATAACCATTTAATGTTTGATTTGGTCTGGGTGTTTCTATATATAATATGTATGTATATACAAAAAGAGTATAAATGTATTATTATTATTATACCAGTTGTCTAGTACACCCATAATACAAGCTCTGCTTAGTTTGGGACTAGATGGCGTTGTGTGAATGTGGTGAAAAAAAGACATTCCATAAGGTGGATGTAACACCGTAGACATTTTCTAAACAGAAAACCTTTGCAGCAGGTGGCATTTTACTTAATAATATAATACATAGTATAAACTAAATAATGTACTTTACTATACAAATACAGGTAGAAAAATATTCAGTTGAAATCTGCTAAGAAGTATGTATGTATAATGTATATACTATAAAGGGTGTAAAGGACATCGTTACGAATACTGAAATGGTGTATTGGGACCATCATTCTGAATCTAAAACCATTGGAATTTCATGCCGGAAAATTAAACTTTTCATGCAATCAGCTATCAATCGTATAGGTAATTTCCCGTAGGATCGCACAAAAGTTAAAACTACATGTAAATTCCGTGCAAATAGTCCACGTACACTAACACCAGTTGACCGCCGGCGGGGAGGCCCCGCGCGCTTCGGCTGGTTGTTTAATTACATTGCAGTTTTTGACCGTATTCGCTATTTATTAATTTGTTTTCGGCGCAATGTTCTGTTTACTCATTGTGATATCATTTTTAACCAAAAAAAGGGGTCAATTAAAAAAAAAGATAAATTTTCCGGCAGAAAATTCCAATCATTTTCGACTCAGAATCAGGGTCTGAATACACTGTTTCAGCATTCGTTACGACGTCCTTTACACAGTGTTTATAACTTACAAAGTTACAAATATGAAAGAAAATGATTTTTCAATTAATAGGTAATAATGGTAATAATTACTTGCTAATACTAGGACTACCGGGTAGGGTAGTCGGTTCTAGTTAGCCACTTCTGCCGCTAGGGGCGCTGTCAGTAGTATATGGAGAATTCATCAACACTGATCGTAGATATCGTACCTAATGAAAACCCTTATTTTACTATTTGTAAACATAATAAAGCGTTAAAATTATGGTCAAACAACAATTAATCAAATAAAAACGGAGACTTTATATTTCAGATCAGTTTTTATAATAAAGTTATTTGTTTTTATTATTTTACTGTTTTTGTTAGAGTAAGACGTAAAAGCAGACGAACAGCGATAAAAATTGAGAATTTATAATAGTATTTTGAATTAATTTGAATCAATTGCAGTTTCTTAAAATAATAATAATATATCTCACACACGGCCGTCTGATGCCAAACTAGGCAGAGCCTGTACCATGGTAACCAGACTGCTGATAAACATACTTATATATTTTTAAATAGATACATATTATAGATAAATTACACCTAGACACATAACAAATGACCGTGCTCATCACATAATATTTGTCCTGGGTAGGAATCGAACCCACGACCTCCAGTTTAGCAGTCAGGGTCACTGACCACTAGACCAACAGGCCGTTACATATGTCTAAAACACCAAACTGAAAATCAAATCAATTCAAAACATAACGTCATTGATCAGATAACAATAAAACTGACCTGAAATAATCCCTAATCTAAAATTTACATCTCAATATTACTCAGACTATCAAATTTCATATCTTTAACTTCCTCAGGATTAAAACTCTTGACAGAAACCTTGCCATCGCCCGCCAAATCAGTACTTGATAATTTATTTGTTATTTTTGTTATAGAAATACGACTTTCGATATCATTTGAATCACATATTGTTTCTAGAAGAACCCCTTTTTCCACTTTCCTAGGTTTAGGGAGGACCTGGTTAATTTTCGAACAATTTCTCAGTTTTTCACTAAGAAGTTTGTTACAAGTCTTTTTTGACATATCTAAAGCTAAAGGATCTTCTTTCGGTTCATCTTTCTTCTCGTCTGAAGGTTTGTTCTGTTGTTTTATTTCTGCAACTTCTGCGTTCGACACGTTGTCTTTTTTCTTCCACTTCGTTCTTCTGTTTTGGAACCAGATTTTTACCTGGAAAATGGAAAGAGTTTTGTTATTAAATAGTAGGGAACTCTTTTATAATTGTACTCGTAGTTGGATAATTGACTTGAGACCAATTCAGCTAAGAATAACAAACATGGATACAATTTAAAAAATATAGGTTTCAACCTCTGCTTAAATCGAAAATGTCCAACCCTGAAAAATGTATTAATGAAAAAATAGCTTTCTAGGTACTTTAAGAAACATTTGTCTAGTGTGTTGGTATAGCGGTTAGCGGCCCTGACTGCGGAGCCAGAGATTGAGCTTTCAATTCCCATTCACGACGAATAATTGTACAACGAATGCGACGGAGGTCCGTGTGGTGACGAATTAAAAATACGGAGTGTCACCACCGCTATTCATTCCGTGGGTGTCTTAAGAGCCGGTTAAGGGAGCAAACTACGCTGGAAAACAGCACTGCTGAAAACTAAAAACAAACCCTATACTCAACCCGTCTGGCCAGCATAGCATAGTAGGCCAAAACTTCTTTTCAAAGAAGAGGCCTATGTGCAGCAGTGGACTGTTAAAGGTGATGATGTATATATTGAGAAATGTATAAGTATGTATCAGCATTTTGGTTATCATTTAATTACGAGTGGAGAACCTCTCACCCTACCGGGGTTTGCGTCGGTGAGGTGTGTCAGAATTGAACCTTAAATAGGAGAAATCCGGGAATAGCTTTAGTAATAGGTCCGGATGGACCCAGTAGTCTGGTTTGATAGCACAGGCTCTGTCTAGTTTGAGACGACTGTGTGTATAATTTGTTCATAATTTATAATTATGTGGTTATAAATTCAAAGCTGGATTTGATTAAACTGGTCCAATAGTCAAAGTAACTGGTTGGAATGTTGAAAAACGATTGTAAGATTGTGTCTGAAACGCGATTCGTGAACTGTTGTGGGGAGCTCACTGAACTGAAAATATACATAGCTGGTAAATTTCATGAAGTCTTCCTCAATACAGAGTGGCATTACACAGCTTAATAAAGTTTTAAGCTTGAGGTTAAGGGGATATAATTTTAACTAGTTAGCTCTTGTTTCGTTTCTTTCAACACATAAAAATGTAACGAGGTCATTCGATCACTAAATTTTACTCTTCATTTTTTTTTTCATACCGCCTTATATGAAAATCTATTATTATGGGTAAACTCCAAAAGTCCAGTCAAATAGTATATATCTTGTCTTATTATGACGAAAAAAAAAATGAAAATAACAAAGAATAAAGCACCTGTAAATAGCAAATAATAAAGGCTCTCAAAGCGATAGTTTCCATGGCGACGCGTCACCACGGCATACGTCGCCACACTATGTGATAGTATTGATAGTATATGTAACATATCTAACTCGATTTTATAGCAGGCTATTTAAAGCCCAGCTAAGCCAAGCCATAGCCGACTCAGGCACTCCAAAAAATCTAATTAGGAAAGTTTCATTCTTAAGATATATAAATTATATATGCTTTCATGATGATCGATTCAATAGCTGAGGCGTGATAACGTAACAAACAAACGTACTTTGTCATGTATTAAAATTGCTAATACTTCTTACAATACATATCGATACAATCGAGTTCGTAAACCATCGATACTATCCCATCTCTATAACTCTCCGGGGTCGAGATCGATCAGTAAGTAATTAACTGTTTGTTAACCAATACGCTCGCAATGTCATACATACAAACACATAGAGAACATACACACCCACACATATATACTCAGAGACTAACAAATGATACAAGTCCCTTGCTTATTGTTTAAATATTCATGCACACTAACACTTAATAAGAATAACATTTGTCAAAACTAAATGTTAGAGTGAGATAGAAATAAAACTATATTATATGTCGTTACATATCAGTTTTCTTACACTTCACTGTACAAGCAAGAGCAACAAATCCGGGTCACATGAACTTCATGAGTTGAACATAAGCTGTATGAAGTTTTCAGCACGCAGCCCGTACCTTGGCTTATAAATAAATATTATTGTTATTATTTTATTGTCAATAAAACAATCATTAAGCCATTAGCATTATCTAGCATTCTTAGTTTCCTAGACTTTCAGCTAAATATGCATATGTGATCAGTGTTTATTTATGTAACCCGGATTTATTTCTTTGGAATCGAATTCCTATATCCATGCAAACATTATAAACTGAAGAGTTTGTTTGCTCAAACGTGCTAATCTTAGGAACTACTAGTGGATAGCCACGCTACGTTTTATAGGAGCCTTTTTTAAATGTTGACGGGGTGGAAAATCCCTCTCTTCGGGGACTCAGGAGCCAGGAGTATGTGGTGATTCCACTAAAAACCACCCGACGGCCGGCCTCAGGTGTAATACTATGGGGAGGACCCGGACCATGTTATATCAGGTCCTCCCCGAATTGATACCATGCCTAATCAGGCCCTATCCCAGGGGAGAAAACTTCCCCCCTCAATCGCGGCATGGTAGCCCGAACGCATCTTAATGCATTCAAGCCGGCCATTCTATCCCCTACCGCAGCAATCAGTCTGCCACCAGAGCTCCCATCCCTGGCGGCCCGCGGCCCCGTCGACGGCTGTTATCGGCGACGACGTCCTCTACGTTCGGGATCGGCCCTCTCAGGCCCGTTCAGCGGTCTCGTTCTTGAGCATTACAGCTTCACAGAAAGAGACCACTGCGCCCCATCCGTCCTCCCATGGCACCAATAATTGCTGGCGGGAGGACGTCGGCCGCCGACGTTGGCCGACCAGGACTTCGCGTTCAGACGCCTACGCGGGGCAGTCTTCCAGCGTGTGCTGGGTGGAGTCCCAGTCGACTGCGCAGTGCATTGTGCCGTCTCCTCGCGTCCGACACGATTCAGGCACTCACCGAAGCAACCATACGCAGTGACTACCTGCGTTAGTCTGTAGGTGACGCGGCCTTCCTCCCTTCCTACCCAAGCTTCGAGGCTAAACAGAACGGCACCGACAGCGCTTTGGCGCGCATTCCGCGGTTGTTCCAGCCGCGCGCGCCACTGCACGTCTTAGCATCAATACAAAATGTTGCAATAACGGGAAAAAAATATTCCGTTTAAGAGAGGTAAAGGAAGTTGCGCGGCTCAGTTAGTTTCTATAAGTTATTCAGCAGCTAATTTAAACATGTAAGTCAGCCAAAAAGAAAATTTCAATCATTAATAGTGTCTTCGAATCTCAAGTAAATTCAACTCGTTTTCATTAGGTGTCACTGCGCAGCTTCCAAAGTCATAAAGCTCGTATTTAATAAAATGTAACCTTTTTAAAGAATAAGGTTATTAAATAAAAACACTACATATATCCCACCAATATATTTTCATGTGAAATGTTGCCAAGACGAGACCATGTGGCTCGCACTATCAAAAAGTTATAAGATCTCATGTAGAGACAAGCTTCTAACTCTACACTCCCTAACTCTACTGGCCCTAACTTCACAAACTCTACACATACGTCAAAATATGTGGCTTGACCGTTTCGCTACCGTCACATGGATGTAAGGTGAAAAATTAATATTGTTGACGTCACATGGACATAAGGTGAAAAATTAATATGGCTGACGTCACATGGACGTAAGGTGAAAAATATATTCACTGTTCGTTACTTTTCTGATATAAAATAATTTTTAAAGTAACGAAAAGGCCAAGCCATCAAAGTATCCCCATTCCAAATTTCAATTTTATCGGTTCAGCGGTTTAGCCGTGAAAGCGTAACAGGCAGAGTAACTTGTCTTTCGCATTTATAATAATACTAGCTTATGCCCGCGACACTGCCCGCGTATGTCGGTTTTCAGGGCAAAAAGTAATTTATGTTACCTGCTGATAATGTAGCTTGCTATTGGTGCAAGAATTTTTTAAATCTTTCACATTTATAACTGATATAAATATGGAAGTATATTTATTTGGATATCTGGATATTTCTAAATATTTTTCTTTTGATGTACCCTCATTAGGTCCAAGGTAAAAAATAATAGGTGACTAAAACAGCCCACCGTGAGCTTGTATAGTCGGTCTCTTCTCATAAAGCTCAACCATTCGGAAAAGGCTTTCGGTCGACGCAGGCAAACGCGATATTATTTATTTTTTATATTCGAAAAAGCAGGCTCTTTTTGTCGTAACTTTGTGTATTGATCTTTTTTTTTTTTTTTTTAAAAAAGACAACTCCCGCATTAGGAATAAATCCTGTGTCGCGGGGGACTTTACAAACATACATGAAACGGACACAAAGAACACCCAGACTCAGAACAACAATTTGTGGATCACACAAAGTGTCGTCCCATGTGGGGTTTGAACCCACAACACTCGGATCTATAATTTTTAATTGTATATATTTTACAATGGATGATTTAGAATACTAGCTGATAAAGGACTGTTTAACTATAAAATGTAGTGAAGTAAGTTCTATGTATGGAAGTTGACAGATAAACCAAGGAAAAGAAGGATGGGCTGTGTGAAGGAGGATATAACTAGAAAGGGAGTAGGCAGTAAACTGTCGAGTGATAGTGGAGTATCGAAGAAGAAAACTGGAGATCATGGCATCCCACAATCACAGACTTTTCGAAATCTTAATAAAGGCAATCGATTGATTTCATTAAATCCCTATTTAGTTGAGTGGACTGTAGTTAAACATGATACTAGTAAGTGTTATGAGATGGCTGAGCTCGTAAAATAACCGTAAAACTAACACTCCGATACTTGTTGACTTCAACTACCTGGTTAAATTCTGCGGAATCTTAAAACTAATCAAACTAGAAGACGATTCAGACTTCACTGTTCATAAACGGTAATTGTCAAAAATTTATTTCACGATTGCTATCAATAAACAATAATTGTATTTCCATATAATACCACAATTTTATCAATTGGTTTAAAGGTTCAATTGATACCATAACATGACAAAAAGACGACATTACCGGATGAGTCCGAAGGTGATAATAATACTAAGGAAACACGTTTATAACGTTCCTCAAATGCAAGACAGGATCCTCCAAACAGGAGAGATGATCATTAATTATGTTCATCGATGTTGGAATGTTGAAAATAAACAACCAGTTTGTGACTTTTCAGTGCGCGTTGCAGGATTAGTATTGACTACGTAGTTCGACGGGCTTTCGCTAGTTGGCGTTGTAGGATTATATAATACTGTTCACAAAAGTAAAAAAATAAGAATAATTTCATGGTTTGTGTAATTTACAAGTGATCTTATCGCAATGTCACAATATATTTTTACCAGTAGGGTAAAATTCAAAGTCGATTTAGAAGACAGAAAACTGTAAACGATTATTTTTATTACACTTTCATACTCACATAAAAATAAGCAGTGAGAATAATTTAATGTAGCTTAACATAAAAATTACATAAATATACTGTTCTTTTTTATGTTAGAGGGGGCAGACGAGCAGACGAGTCATCTGATGGAAAGCGACCACCCCGCCCATGAACGTCTGCAACTCAGGAGTCACAAACGCGTTGCCGGCCTTTGAAGAAATGTAGAACAAAAGTGTAGAACATGAGTACATATATAGAGTCCAAAATCATTTTTAATACGCGCGAGTAAACAATATAATAAAATTCTATCTCAATATGAAATAGAGCTATATGGTACCAGTGTTTCTAAACTTCAAAACATTTCAGCTAAGAAATTTTTTGATTGACTACTGGTGCTGGTTTTGTCTTTGTTTACTGACTTCCTATTTAATGTTACGAGTGTATTTCTAAATGGCCATTAGATATTCATGTTTTTAAAATGCTAGCTGTAATTATCCAAAACAGAGAAAAAATAATAAAAGTTAACTAACAAGCAAGGGGTCGCGTCGATCCTCATTGTATGTGGTTATCAGCACAACCTTGCCATAATTACTTTTAAAAAGAAGGTGCCTTAAATTAAGACTTCAATTCGAGCAAAGACTTGAATTTCCCTTCCTTTACAATCAATAACCAACGTGCTATCGAATAACTTTTCATAATAATTAAAAATAACAACGCCATTAACTCAATAAGCTACGCTAAACGCAGACGATTTATCCGCAGTCCATTACACACAGTACAATACATATTATAATACACACAAACACACGTAAGTACTCACAATACACACAATGCGTGCTTGTGTAATTGGCTCACAAATTAATCTGGGTAACATGTGACATTTGACTCGGCTATACCTGATGATTCCACAGCTTAAAGTAAGGCTGTGATTCACTGAGCGAATTCGTCGCGTACTTAATTGTATTATAAGTTTAATTTACGTACATACATATATGTAAGTGAGTAAATATCGAGATTTA